GCATACACGGGAAAAGCTAATGCCTTTGTGAAACACTTGTGAAAAGAATGAACAATGACCATTACAGGACGCACCTTGATACTGGCAGTGTTCATGATGAGCCACCAGAAGATGAACCAGATAGCGCCGTTCCTCGGTCGACTCCGCTGGACAAACTGCAGGCATAGCAGTAGCAGTAGCGACCTCGGTGGATGACGGGTCCGGTGTCTTGGTACTCGGACGCATCATACGCTCGCATTGCAATGACGCGACGGGGTTGACGTTGCGCACAGCAGCGAGGAATACTTCCGTGTTGGGATCCACTGCCTCCTTCTTCCACACGTCGATGAGAGTTGACAGAAATAGTTCATTCGTCAACTCTCTCCCCCGTGGCAAGGCGCTCTCGACACGTTGGCAGCCGTTGCCCTCACCGCAAGTCTCGTCCAGCAGCTTGTAGGCCAGTTCTTTCATTTTCTCATACGTTAGCGTTGCACGAAGCGTGGACTGCATCCTTTCAAGACCCGGACGTGCAGACCTGCGATGGGAGTAGCTGACAATGTCAGCCACGAGACGAGAGTTGGCAGTGTCCGATGTCGACGATGTACGCTTCTCACAGATTAGCCGCCAGAGATGCTCTATGACGACGAACGAGGGTTTGCGCGGTAATAGTGTAATGACGAAGCGCCAGAACATTGTCATGTGACCACTGTAATGACCGACTCTCTTCACCAGCCATGCCGCGTCATGCTCGTCCTTCAGCACTTCGCGTGACAGATACCATGCCGACATGAACTCCTGGAGGGACAGGTGAGCGAAGCGGTACTGTCGGTTCTCAGTCGAGCTGCCGTCTTTGTAAGCAATTAGGAGTCCAAGCTGAAGAGCGGCATCACTTAGACCGGCGCTTTTCACTTCCGACTCGCTGAACACGGCCTTTTGCTCCGACAACATTGCAAGTGCGAAGCGGGAGACCTCGTACAGCAACTCCATCTCCCGTGCATCCGTCCTGGCAAACGACTTGTGCAATTTGCCTGCATTCCGCTCCAAGACACGTAGAAGTAGCGACTCGTACAATGCTGTGCTCGATTTCGCCAAGCCACGTCCGCTGTGGTACAGCTCACATGCCAGAGCAGCAAATAATGGAGTTCCCATCAATGCTAGCATGTCCGGCTGTGCATGCAGCTTCTCCAGCATCTCCTCCGCTTGTTTTCCGCCCACCACTTTTCTCACGTACGTCTTCACGTTCTCTTGTGAGAATCCGATAACCTCCAGTTGTTGATGGTACTTTCCACATTGGCTTAACTTGTACGCATCGGCGCATGGTCGAGATGTGACCACCACATGCATATCAACACTGCGTTCCCTCAACAGCATGTCTTGCATGTACGGGCTACATTTCTCCAGGCTGCATTCGTCCATGCCGTCAAGCACAACACAGAGACGTGACGGATGACGGCGAAAGTAGCGAGCTATCTCCTCCAGCTCATCTTGTTCCATGTCCAACCTGTCGAATCGAGCAGCCAGCAACTCACACAGGCTAGTTGCAGATCGCACCTCAGCACGTCGTAACTCAACGGCCAAGACAAGATCAATCTTCTCCTTCAACAGCGAATCTATAGCCCACAGGTATTCCAGCATGAGAAGGAAGATTGTAGATTTGCCACTGCCCGCACTGCCAAACGCAAGCACGTTATTCTTTTTCACTCCAATGGACACGTTGCTAGCGGCACGAGACAGAAGTCCACATTCGGAATCAACTACTCCGCTGGCACTTGCTTGGTCCTTTGCACTATCGCTACCTGTGTCAGAGAAGATCTCGCTAAGCTCAATCCCACGTGTCTTTTCGGACTTTCCATCCTGAGCTGCTCTGATAGCATTTAGCTGGCGTGCTCTCTCAGATTCGGAGGAAAAGAACGACTCGCTCTTGAAAAGTGTTTCTACTTCATCCTTCGTCAGCAGAGTAAGATTGACAAAGAGCTCGCTCAAAGCTATTTCCCTATCTGTTCCTAACCCCCCGCTGATCTGCACACCACGATCCTTGACTGCATCACGCAATCGTGTCTGCGCCTTCAGGAGAGACGCTGGTAATTTGTGATCCTCCGCCATCGTCAGTCCTCAAGGGATTCTGAGTATCGATCGTGTCTTCATCATCTACATAATAATTACAAAAAGAAATCACAATCACTGATCAACTCTTTTTTAAAGTTTTTTTGCACCGAAGCAGAGCGCTCGAGCCATCTGTAATCTGTAATTTATAATACTTTTTTACTTGATCAAGTGCCAGAAAGTGAAATCGCGTCCCCCCCCCCCCCCCCCCGGCCTGTCGAAGAGGGTTTTTCGGCGTGGCTGGGTTCATCACGCGCTGGAGATCCGGAGCTGCAGCAAATCATTATAGTCCGCAGTCCAAGTGCTCAAAATGTAGCCCTAAAAAATTCCGTTCGCCACGACGGGGCACCAAGGTTTGATGTGGGGGCCTGAAAGAGGACCCCTTGAGGTACCCAAAACAGTCGAGAACTGCTTCTAGATCTGGGGCGCTCTCTCGATAGAGGCGAATTTCTTCGGGGCAAATCCATGCACAAGTTTCGCGGAGCGTAAGTTTGAGCATGCATCAAACCCACTCAAAAGTTCAAATTTGAAATCTCGCACACTTTGAGTGCCACGTGGTGCGCTTCAGATGTAAAAACGTATTCCTGGACGGTAGTATTTAGGTTCTAGGTCGATCGGGTGTGCCTCGCCTATGCCATGGTTTCACGTATTTTGGCAATACCAACTGCAGTGATGAGCTCCTGCCGAGTGCTGGCATGGTGCTATCTCCTCTGTACCGGAACCCGAAACGAATAGAACTCTGAAGTGTATTCACACAATGCCAAGTGCCAAATATTCTGACAGCCTGCACGGCATCCGAGGAGTCCGCAGTTCGATGGACAGGACTCATCAATCGCTACGAGCCCCTAGGCCCTGTTGTTGAACCAGAAGAAAAATATGCCTGTTTTGTGGCACGCTGAAACAAATAAGCGAGCTGTACAACCAAGCAGGCGACATCTCAACTCGTGACAGTGGAAGCAGAAAAGAAATAAGTGCGGAACGCTGCTGCCACACGACAAGATCAAAGGATTATGGCAGCAATCAGTTCAGCGAATCTGATCGCTAGAGAGGTACACTACCAAAAGTCTTGTTATCATTCATGCACTTATGCAGATACTCTCGCTAGGATTGTAGCAAGCAGACAAAAGACGCACATTGCAGACCTCACTGCCTCATCGAATTCCTCGGAGGATGATTTCTTCTCTGCTGTAGGCAGTGAACTACTTGATGACTGTGTTCAGGGGCGTAGCCAGGATAGTGATCAAGGTGGTTTCCTCGACGTTCCCACACAAAAGAGCATGCCTTCATTGTGGTCCTTTCATGTCGGCCGATATTTATATATTTTGTTATTACACAGACAGAAGAACGTGCAGTTGCTGCTTCGTAACTCTGAGTTTCATGAACTGAATCAATCCGATAAGACGAACATTGATACTGACCTTGACCTGAGAGTGCTACTAATACTAAGTCCGCTGCGCTTGCCACATTCATGGTATATATCAGTACTCTCAGGGCAGGGTCAGTATCAATCTTTGTCTGATGATCGATTTAGTTCGTGAAACTGAGAGTTACGAAACCGCAACTGCTCGTTCTTCAGTCTGTGTATTCTGCTCTTTGCCTTCGGCAAATTGAGCCGTCTACGGACAGTGGATGAACGTCACATGGTATATTTTGTTATCATAAACACAACGGCTCTACGGAGAAACGTGTGGAGAACATAACGGCATAAAACAAGACATTCAAAGCGGATGATGTACATTATAAGGATGACGTGCCGCACTGTGTACCGTACTAACCATTCCAAAATGGCCAATCATCCGACGAAATAGTCAAGTGCAAGTAAGAACGCGTAGATTGGTTTCAGATTTAAAAAAAACCCACGTAAGTCCGAACAGGGATGGCTACAGTGTGCGATGTGTAGAGTTATGGTCCGCGCGTTATGGTCTTTCTTGAACGAGCTGCAAACCAAGATCGAATCCGGTTTTTTTTGGTGGGGGGGGGGGGGGGGGGGTGCTTTGGCACCCCAAACACCCCTTCTTATGCCCCTGGTATTGTCGTGTCCGCTGCGTAAGTACAGTTAAAAAATAGTTCATTCCCTTTGTTTGACCATACCTGGTCTTTGGGTCACAATACATGTATACACAGAGGTTAACTATCAGCATTGTCTAATATTTTGCGGAACTATTTCCCTAGTTCGAAACAAATTTGATGTCGCATTTCTTTATGTTTAGGTGCTGACACACACACTGCATTTTCAGCCACTGCATTGCTGTAAACCATTACGTTGACTTGCACTTGATGTAAATGCACTCCTTCTAAGGCCGACTCCAGTGTGCTTGGCACGGGTTTTCTCATATCAGTCTCTATACATGTAGTTAATTAACTCGTCTCATCAGGTTTCCTTTGTGTATTTTGTTGTCACATGTAATTCTAGAACATATAATTATTAGTATTATTGCCTTGAACGCATCCGTTATGCGATAGTGTGGTTGTAGGTGAACACTGCAAGGTAGTACATAACATGACAACTGTGTCGCATGTTGCGTCATACTGTGTAGTACTATTTCTCCTCTCTACATGCCTATACTTCATCCAAATTCAGTAAAATTTCGCATGCTGGCTCTCCTCAGTCTCTGTGGCTCGAATACAGTTCATAAACAGCGCTATGATGCTTGCAATAGCCTCAAAATTCTAATTCATGATCCAGTTGCCATGGCAACGCATAGAAAAACAATTGTCGCGATTTGGTCAACAAAGCCCCAACACAGCTAATCAAGAGACACATGCCTGGAAAGCCCTGCTCTTGCTCTTTCATTTGGTCATGTCAAACCTTGGTGCCCTTTCGTGGCGAACGAAAAGTCACAATTCTGCACCCTGGACTGCGGACTATTAGTGCGAAGCGCGACACACGAGCGCGACCCAAACTGTGTCACGTGTGTGTCGAATCTGACCGTCGATTATTTACTCGACAATTCCAAAAATCAGTGCCATTCATTGGCTTTAGCTTTGCCCTTGAACTTGAAATCTCGTGCCTTATTCTTTCCTGGGGACTGGTGTTGGATATTGAACGGGCGGAGTTACCGCCGGGATGATGGATGAAGGAGATGATGGCCTAAACTTGGCTGCGCGCATTCTCATTTTCGCGTGGCCTGCCACTAGTGTTTCGCAGATTCACAAAGGGTGTCACAGGCATAGCTGGAGGAAGAAAGGTGAGAGAATCGGTTGCACAGTGCAGATCGCAGAACGTGACATTTTTCTAATTTATTGATTTTCCCGCATTACTAGTATACCACAGTTTGTTGTTCACGTTATTTCGCTTCAACTTTTGAGGTATGAATTCCTTAACTGCAGACTCGACATGCAAGCTCCATACTGACCAGGCTGTGTCAACATCAGGTCACGGCTTGTTTGACTTTGTCCGTTAGGCCGTGTTTGCATAGATATTGTGATGGCGTCAAAGACAGTTAAAGATTGTGTTGGTCGTGTGTCGGGGGTATTGTCCCCGCCGAAACTGAATGCAAGTTTAAGAAAGACTAGGTCTAGTGAGTTATGATCAGAAGTGTCCTGTGGGTCTAGCCCTCAGCCCCTCTGCGGCAAGCAGTAAACTATATTTACACCAAAAAGCGCAAAACAAGACTTGATTTTCTACGCGGCTCTTTTCACCGTGATAATTATTGTACACGTGTTATGAAAATTTGAAATACTCATGGCAACTGGTGGGTGAATCATTCAAAAATGCAAACGTGCCCGCTGTTGAGTGCAGCCATGTGAATCCACACAGTCACTTTTTCTCGTAAATCACTCGCCGTAAAACGTGCAAGTGGCTGTCGTGTGAATCGCCTATAACCGACTGTCCACAGTTGTCGAAGTATTTTCCAGCACTCACTGTACTTTATTAGAGAGGTTGCGCATAACGTAATTACGTTAGTTAAAAAAATGTAGTCGATCTACGGAAAGTCTTACGTAAACTGCATGCGCATCTGGGTTCCGCCATACGGAGTTTTCAAATCATAGCAGACTCAGCGGAGGACGTTCAGGTTGGTTGTTACTCTTGAGTTTCGTGCCGTTAGGCAATCATCAGACAACTGATACTCGGGTCTACCTAACAGTGAGTCAGTATGCTTATAAATACATAGGGCCACAAGCATAAACAAATTTAGCGCTAAATCTGGTGTAAGGTATGGGGAGAACAGCTGGCGCGGGCCACGGCGCGACAGTATAAGTGCCAGGAGGGTGGCGGGCAACAGGCAGGTGTGAGCATGAAAGCGCGGAAAGAGGCGATGGGGAGGCAGTGTACAGCAGATGGGTGGAGGTGCCAGGAGGATGGCGGGCAATGGGCCAGTGAGATCGCTAGGGGGTCTTTGGGTGATGGGCAGGCGTGGGCGTACTATTGACATCATGGATGTGTCCTCACAACAAGGCTCCACCATGAGCATGGCAAACTTTACAAAGTAAGCCTTTCAGTGCAAGTCTTGGTGGCATGGTGTCTTTTGGGTGTTTTTTTAGGTTCCAAGAGACGTGGAGCTACATTGTGTGTTTGTGTGTTTGTGTGTACGCGTGCGTGTGTGTGTGTGTACGCGTGCGTGTGTGTGTGTGTACGCGTGCGTGTGTGTGTGTGTGTGTGTGTGTGTGTGTGTGTGTGTTTGGCGCATGCCGTGTACTCTCTTGTGCAGGTACTACACGAATGCGAAACGTGACAAACTCTACAACGTCATTAGCCTGGAGTTCACCAAGACTAAGTTGGAGCCTCTAGTGGAGTCACCCAGTCTGGTACGTCAGCAATCCTACATCCACTTGAGAGGATCAAAAGCGTTTCTGCTGTAACTCTGACTTTCACGGTTTTAACCGATCATCAGACAGCAACTTGGACTACAATTTTCAGAAGATATGATTGATATAGGCTGCAATCAATCAATCCTATGCATGTAACGTTACATGTAGTACACTCTTATCTGTTGTATCCGGGCGGTCCAGGACCGGGGGCTCTGCCATTCATTTGGAAATGTTCGTAATTATGTACATCTTGATGTGGAAGGCACGTAGATCTGGCATATTACGTCACTCCTGGTATTTCCACAAATTGGTAGAAAAGTAGTAATATATCCACTAAAACTCACTCACAGGGTTCCCCGTAGACCAAGATGCCCGTAACTTGGAGGTCCAGATAGGAGTCGTGAGAAATGAGTGCACTGTAGTTGAGCACTCCACTGCACTACTGTCTCCCCTGTATGCCGTGTTGGGGGGTTTGGTGGGCGTTTGAGGCTCATGTCATACATGATCATGCTTAGGCTCGTTTTGAGAAAGTATGGATTTTTAATTCCTGATTGGTTTGTGCAATGTGTTTTTATTGGTTTATCAATGCCCCATCACAAGCTGTATAGTATGTATTCGCAACCGTGTAGGAATTGCTCATTTGTCTTTTCTTCTTCCTACTGCTTGCTTGCTGCGGCTGCTGTTGCTGTTGTTGTTGTTGTTGTTGTTGTTGTTGTTGTTGTTGTTGTTGTTGTTGTTGTTGTTGTTGTTGTTGTTGTTGTTGTTGTTGTTGTTGTTGTTGTTGTTGTTGTTGTTGTTGTTGTTGTTGTTGTTGTTGTTGTTGTTGTTGTTGTTGTTGTTGAATTCTTTATTCTCACGATGGCACCATCGCCAATAAGAGATGTTGTTGTTGTTGTTGCTGTTGTTGTTGTTGCATGCAGGTACGTCATTTGGATTGGGTGGACTTGGTGTGGTCGGAAACATTGCGCGCTTTGCAGCAGGAGGCCACCAACCGACTGGTCGACATGAAATATCCCAAAGTGCAAAAGTATGTGTTTTGTTTGTTCTTGTTGATGGTGCTGCTGCCGCCGGTGTTGCTGTTACTGGCCGACTGCTGGTACTGTTGATAGTACTACAGGTGTAGCTGCCCTATTGCTGGTGCTTGTGCTGCTGCTGTTGCTGTTGCTGTTGCTGGCTGCCCTACTGCTGGTGGTTGTGCTGGCGCTGCTGTTGCTGGTCTACTGTTGTTGTTGGCTTACTGATTGTGTGGCTGTTGCTGTTGCTGGTCTACTGCTGTTACTTGTGCTGTTCCTGTTGCTGGCTTACTGATGGAGCTGCTGTTGTTGTTGCTGGTCTCCTGCTGTTGCTTGTGGTGATATGTGTGTATGTATGTATGTATGTGTGTGTGTGTGTGTGTGTGTGTGTGTGTGTGTATGTGTATGTATGTGTGTGTGTGTGTGTGTGTAAGTGTGTGTATGTATGTGCCAGCTAGTTCGGTTGGTGGGTGCACTTATGCCTGATTGTGTTGGGTCTGTTGCCAACGGGCTCGGCTGCTTGAAGGTGTAATGTGTGTGTGTGTGTGTGCATGTATGTGTGTGTGTGTGTGTGTTTGTGTGTGTGTGTACATGTGTGCATGTGTACGCGCGAGTGTATGTGTGTGGTTGTGTGTGTGTGTATGTGTGTGTATGTGTGTGTGTGTGTGTGTGTATGTTTGTTCGTTGACAGGCTGGATTCATGCAGTTCACACTCCTGTGGATTCGCTGGTGTTTGGTGGAAACTTTCTGCACAGTTTCAACATAAGCGGTCAGCTTGCCGTGGCGGACATTGAAGAAACTACTGCGGTACGTGAGCTGTGCTGTGCATGTCTGTGATATCTTCTACAACTCTACCACGGCAATGCCTTGTGTGAGCTTTCCAAGGCTTGGAGTTGTGCATGAAGGTTTCTGTTTTGTTATGCTCATACGTCGTTCATCGATGTTGCCGTGGAACCGTGTGTGTGTATGTGTCTCTGTCTCTCTATGCCTCTGTCTGTGTGTGTGTGTGTGTGTGTGTGTCTCTCTCTCTCTCTCTCTCTCTCTCTCTCTCTCTCTCTCTCTCTCTCTCTCTCTCCCTCTCTCTCTCTCTCCATCTCTCTCTCTCCATCTCCGTACACTTCACTTTGTACCACTATGACTCCCTCTGTGTCTTAAAAATACAAAATGTGGGGAAACGATCTCCATGTGGCCGTGGCTGTTGAATTTATTTTCCTGAGAACGAGAAAGTATTCTGTCTCTGCTGCTATGTCCTTTGTCGATGTGATTTCGACGTGAGCTGCGGGTCATTCGCGTTGTTTTTAGACGTGCCAGCCAAATAACGCGAGCTGAACTTTCGCGTCACGTCAGAAATAACGTGAATCTTAACCTCTCTAATAAAAGCTCAATATCGAAGATGTGTATATGCAATATTTATGTTTGTACCATCATCAACAATAATAGAAAACAGGATCACTGCACTTCGGAGTATCCAAACATAAATATGTAGTTATCCTGTCAAGCAAGATTACATAACCCCATGTACTCTTGTGTCAAAGCACAGGATCTTATTCTTACAAGGGAAGAGGCTGCACAGTACACGTATTATCACAATTTATCAGACGTATTCGGAATCTGTGGTGGACAAAGCCCCATTAGACCTTGTACAGATTAGTGCAAAGAAAAACGTGTGATGCGTTGATTCGCCGTACACATGTCGTAATAATCACTGGTGCGTGGAACATTGCATCATAAAAATGACGTCAACTTGAAATTCTGTGGTGACAGCAGGGTGTGCGGGAGTTTCACACTCTTCGGGGGTTATATACTCTAATTTCAGAAATTTTAGGTGCTCACTATTTTTCAGTATGAGGGCAAAAGGCCAGGTTAGGCGAACAGAACTTTTAGGTACAGAGAAGCAGCTCCCTATTGGATTACGTGTGTTAGTGTCTGTTCGGTGTATTGAAACTTTAGGTATGAAACAGACCCACCAAACGTACCGAAAAAAAAGTACACCAACAATTTGTGAAATTACAGTACTCTTGTTGTTGGGTGTTGCCGGTTGAGTGCTGTTCACGGCAGCTATCCTATGCCTAAATATGGGCTTGTATATTCTGATTGTCTGATCGCTGACAGATACGGACGCAGCGAAGCGCTCTCCTGCGCCCGCATGCGCCGAGATCCCACTGCTGTCAACGGATGACACTGCAGCCCAGTCGCCAGCGACGGCGGCAGCTGCTGCTGCTGCTGCTTCGTCAGGAGATGGGAACAGCTCACAAGGCGGCAAGCCACCTCCATCACCGCCGTCCTGCCTGCTCTCGGACATGGCCTGTCTCAGCTCGTATGAGATTGATGGCTTGCGACGGCTGCTGGCCGAGCTGAACGTTTCCACGACGATGGTGAGAGTGTGTCCCGAGGAGCTGGGGGATCCTGGGGAGCTCATGTCGACCGTGGAGGTAAGTTGTCGTGTGTGATGTGTGGGTAAAACCGAAGTTACCGAAAATAAATCTCCACCGAAATTTTCCGGTTTTACAGTAGCCTATCTTCAGGGACATACATAACTATTGGCGTAGATTTGCTTAATCGTTATGCCTTGTATTCTCTTGTCAAATGTACACCGTAGATTCTATTGAACGAGTATGAAAGCCAGTATTCTCCTCTGCAATGTACAAGCATTTTCCTGTGCAATGTATGCTGTATATTCTGTTGAATGAGTATGAATTCTCCTGTGCAACGTGCGCTGTAGATTCTGTTGAACTAGTTTGAAAGCCGGTTTCGCGAGGACAAGGCCACTGGACATTTTATGCTCATACCGGGAATACAATCTGAGGTATGGTGTGGTGAATTGCTGTGTGGTACTGCTGCTGCTGCTATTGCTGCTGCTGCTTCTGCTGTTGCTGATGTTGCTCTCCTCTCCATCCCCACCATCTGCCTGTGGAATATTTGACAGTGGCAACATGTACATGTACATGTAGTAACAGGTATATGTTCATGGTGTGTTCTTTCCTTCTGCGTGTGTAGAATCTGCGTGTGTCGCCCGCACCAATACCTGGCAACATTGTGGAAATAGTTGCAGTTGAAACAGAGATTGTATGCAAGTCCTCAGCTGCTACTGCATCTCCAAGAAAGACAGCAGGTAAGCTACAATGACAGGGGCGTCACAGGGCGGTTGGGAGTGGTACAACGGGGGTGTCCCCCGGGAGAAAAAAATTCGGATATGTCGGCCAACAGGGCACGTTTTAGCGCTCTACAGCCACAAAGGAGGGTTCTCCTAGCACTTATCAGACAACCCCACTCGTACTCCAGCTCCAAAAATACTTCTCATAGATTTTTTGGTCGTACTTCGTAGGTAGCTAAAGCAAAAAGGAAGCCATTGCCCTCGAAAAAATCGCAAAATCCGAAGTACAAGCGTGCTGCTTGCTGCACGTTCTAGCGCCAGCCGCTGTGCAAAAACGTATGTTATTACCACAATGACGATGATATTGCTTTCACAACAATGACCACAACCTAACTGGATGATTAGTAGGAGCAGTGACACAGCCTTACTGCTCCAAGTAGGATTTAGAAGAGAGTGAAGGGAGAGCAGACCGGGCCGGTCTAAGCAAGGAAGTAATCGGCATCAGAGGTGAGCACGCAGCATCGCAGATTGTCTCGAATTGCGCATCACACCAGCGGCAAAATTGCTCCTGTGCATGCAAGTGGATTTCCTTGCACTTCTCAGTTTGGGAAATGCTCGATTATGATAATTCTGCGTGCGAGTGCACTAGCCCTGAACATACATGTAGGTGACCCGTTTGTGGTGTCTCATAGCCTACCTCATGACCTTCTGCTTTCTTTCTGCATCACTTGTATCTTGCAGGTATATCATCTCGTGACGACCACATTGAAGTCTGAATTTGAAGTGCGAAGATGCTTCAGCAACCACATCGTACTTTTCCATTGCTTTCATTGTGCTTCTACTGTGCATGTGTGTAACTTGTGGGGTATACATGTGATGACATTGTATGCTGGCGACACGGTCAGATTTTGTCCATGCGTGTAACGTACACCTGCATGTTATGCATCGAAAAGGATCTGCCACTTGCGATCCTGGGACAAGTATCAGGTCAGCTTTGTCTTGTGTGGGCTGTACCAGATTGCTGTTCACTTTTCTATCTGTTGGATATGTGACTTTCTGCAAGTCTCTGGTGTATGGTGGCCACTTCTTTGCTTGTCACTTTGTATGATATTACATTCTGTATTCGCTGCTTTCATGGCGTGGTCTGCAAACTGCAATCCTTGGGCAAATGTCATGTTTGCTATAATGTGCTTTGGCCGTCAGCTTGTCTACACGTTGTAGTTGAATTATTTTGTTCCACAACTGACTTCCTGAAGTACGGTGGCCACTGCTTTGCATGGCATTTTACATGAATAATTTCCTGTTTGTGTCGTGTGCATGTGCGTATGTGTGCCGTGTGCATCCGCGTGTTTGTGTATCTGTGTGCGGGGTAAGCGAGGTGGGGAGCATTGACCATGCACAAATAGAGTAGCAGCAGATGGATTCATTGCAACTAGAGGCTGCGGTGCATAGTTGGGATAGTGAGGAAGGTAGGCCGTTTCCTTGCGCTCAATGATATTGTGCATTGCACAGCACAGCATGTTGACCTTGCTTACTAACTTTGGATCCTTGCTGTGGCTCTCAGCAACGACACGGAACCTCTCTTTCAACTTCCCTATAGCACACTCCACTACACGCCGTGTCCTTATTGGAGCATAGTTCAAACTTGCTTGAGCTGGCGCTAGATTGGGGTCACTGTAAATTTTCATTACACAAGGACTCAGGCCAAAGGCACTATCTCCAACAACATACGGGCGAATGTCAGCATTCCCACATGTCCATGTGCGATAATTGAGCCATTCTCCACCAAGCAATTTGGCTTAGTTGAACTGTATTAAAAACAGCAGCATCTGCAACAGAGCCTGGTGCAGCTACATCCACAAACGTGAACTAGGCCGCGACTATCTACGCAAACAAAGAGCAAAACAGCAGAGAATTGTTTGTAGCACCAAAAGAGATCACCAAACCTGTCAGGCTTGGTGATCTTCGTGAACGTACCATCAATGGCCCCACCACAGTATGTAGCCTAGGATTATCACCAGGGAGTCGTAAAATACCGGTATTTTACGACTCCCTGATTATCACCCTGATTATTATGCTTATGCAATGTGTACTAGAGACGCAACTAACTTGTAATCATCCAAACCACAGAATACACTAAAACTAGCACTGATGGCATTGTGACCTGCAGGTGCTGCACGTTCCTATTAGTACAGAGTTTAGTGTGTGCTGGAAGTACAGTCACAACATTATAAGCACAGGTCGGAGGGCTGTTGAGATTACAAACGCACAGTCAGCTTGCTTGCTGTCTACAGCATTGGGTAATTGTTATTATTATTTAAAAAATTTTGAAAGTCCCCAGGATGATGGATGAAGGAGATGATGGCCTAGTCTTGGCTGCGTGCATTCTCATTTTCGCCTGTCACAGATTTTAGCCACTAGTGTTTGTTTGTTTACAATAATTGTGCAAGAGTACATTATGTACTGTTGATTGTAGTAAGAGAAGGACAGTAGGCGATGGAAGTGGAGGAAGAAGTGGGCTGCACGCCATGCTCCGACAGCAAAATCTTTGCCTCCAGGGAGGAGCTGGAAGCATTTTTAAAGGAGCAATTGCCACCGGAAAACTTTGTGGTCAGGAGTACGATGAAGGGCTTCCTTGGAAGGTGAGCTATAACGTGTAGTCTGCTGAATGTCCTTACGATGTCAAGTTGTGCAGTTGTCAATGTGGTCCGGAAATTGACCGCAAGTGTAAAACTACTTCCCGCGTGTGTCGGAATTACACTTACCGAAATTGTTATAGAAATAACATAAGGAGGGGAAGGTGAGCGCAACCGAAAATAGCAGTATGCGGACTGTATATGTGGTCACCTTGTGTTCATTGTCTTCCAGTGCCATCGATATCCTCGCGGCCAAGGACCTTCGACATGTCTGGCAGCATCACCGAATGTGTGTCCCTATTGATTTCCATGGAGTCCCCTTCTGCGTGCTCGGCCGGCAAGAGTGTCAGTTCGGGAAGGAAAGATGCCATGAAGCTAAACAGGTCGGTGTCGTCGGGGGTTATAATATGAAAATTATATTATTAGTCTGTCTGTACATGTTTGTATGCCATACGCTGCTCCGTGTGTATTTACCTATTCCCCAGAGCAATAAGGCTGTGTTTACATGAAGCGTTTCAACCCGGGTCAGATTTCAACCCGCCATGTACACAAAATGAATGGCGCGTTTACATGACGCATTGCGCTTGACCCGGGTTGAAATTTCGCCCCGGGTTGATTTCAACCCTCCCCTTGGGGAAATCAACCCTCCCCCCAAGGGGTGGGTTGAAATCAATCCGGGTCAAGAAAATCGTACAAACGTACTTCTGTGCGTATCTCGCGCCAGGTTTGAACAGCACTGCAGATGCAAATTTCGCGCGAACGGATTCACGTGACCATACAGGACTGTAGAAGTGGACTTTTGGCGGCATATCAGTATTTGACCCTGGTCAACTGTCTTCATGTAAGGCCTCGGTCACACTACGGCAGTTTGAAGCTGGACGCAGCGTCAAGCCGCAGCACTTGACGGAGACGTGGGGTCACACAGTGTTTTGTTTTTTTGCAGCTCATGACTGCCGCGGCTTGACGCATTTGTCTACGTCACAAAACCACCAGGAAAACTCAATGACGACACGGATTCTCACGGAAACCGGCCTTTTGCTTATTATACAAAAAAATTGTCGGACAAAGTTTTCGAATTTTTCATTGATTTTGGATTACAAGAAGACGAAAGGTACTACCAAGAGTGGGTTATGTACTCTTGGTACTACATGTAGGTCCACGCGTGCACGATCGTTGTTGTTTCTTTCCGAATTTGAAGCCATTTTCAGTTGTAGTGTCATTGATCAGGCAAGAAAAGTCCGCATCGCAGCTGTGTTTCTCCTGACTTCGTCATACTGGTTGTCCTTTTTGGGGCTCTTGACGACAACACAACACTCACAAGTCAACAGGCTCCAGTTGGCCGATGACCCACTCAAACAACTGGTCCTTTCTCGACATCATTTTCTTCTCAGAAAACGCCTCGCTCTTCCGCCAGGTTCGGAGCAGAGCAGCCTCGGCCTCGTAGGTCCACGGACTCATCTCGAACAAAAAGAGGGAACAAAACAAACCTTGAACAGACGAATGTCGAATAACTGCTCAACTCAAGCAAAGACAAATGTCTTGAAACTAATTTTACTTGAAAGACACTGTTTTTCCGCCAAGCGTCACTCCCACCAGCGGCAACGCAGCCGATTTCCCCACGTCAGACGCAGCAGCGTCTGACGCTCAAACTTCCCGCGTTGCGTCAGTTGCCATGGAAAAGCTCATGATTCTGACGCTGACGCAGCATTTTTGCCGTAGTGTGACCGAGGCCTAAACGCTCACCTCTTTTGTCTATCGTACAGACTTTCAACCCGGGTCGAGTTCCGGGTTGAAATTTCTCATGTAAACACAGCCTAAGTTCGATTCTGACCGAGGGGGTGGCGTGAAGGATGGGAAAACGAAATGAAGAATGTACAACCAGCAGCATGCAGCGGAAGAAGTACGCGCCATCAGCATGCCAATGGTCTGCTCAGCCAGCCAGCTCGCAGTCGGTGTGGCCAAACGAGATTCGCCACCACAGGAGCATTGCTGTGGAACAGTTTGCCTAGAGAGGTGCGCACCGTATCCAGATTGCAAGATTTTAAGCTAGCCTGCCTTCCTTATGTATGCCTGAAATAGGTTGTGTTTCGTCAGGTTTTGACATGTTCCTTTCTTCTCAGTATTCTCGCTCGCATAGTACCGTAAAGTACCGCCAGAGCGCCCCGTCTCGCGAGAGCGCCCCACCTTGATTTTACAGCCAGAGAAAGGAAAATCGTATTGCAGAGTGCAACGAAGTGTGTACGATGTGAGAATCTTAGTGTACTAAGGTCACACTTGGCCGGTTTTTATGTGGAGCTTGTGCCCTCTTGAAGGTACGGATAGACTGCAAAACGTGCAATATGTGTACAAGGTTCATGTCGTATGACCTACAGACAGCAGACCACCTCCACAATACGACCACGAAAGGATGAGATGGTGGGGCGCTCTGGCGGTACTTTACGGTACTCCACTTCTATGATAATATTGCCTATGCTTTTGCTCATTAGGATTTTGGCAAATTCTATCCTTCGCTTTCATATAACTGGGCCAGGAACCCGTTTGAACTTGCGAAGTAAAATAAAATCAATCAATCAATCAAATCAATGGTATCAGCTGCTTTGCCCTGCGTATCCTGTGTGCATCATTCTGTAGTGTAGTGTGCCATGCCATCATCTGGCTGGACTTTTGTTGTTCTCTTTCTTCGTAGCCTACGGACACAAGCGACGCAACGCGGTCACCTGCGGACCAGGCTTCCTCGAATCCCAGCCATGAGAAGATATCAAGGCGGCTCTCTCTTCAAGGTATATTGGAGCCATTGCTACCTTGTGTCACATCCCTGCGCTCATTAACTGGCCATGACACTTGAACACTCTCCGAACGGTCGTCCTGAAGATTGCCCGAACATTTGGATGACTTTAGCTTTTTTCTTTTAGTGGTTGGTGTAGCCCAGAGACCGGTTGGAGAGTGTTGCGAATGTGTATGGATATAATCAAGAGTACATAACCCCCAAGAGTAATTGAGGGACTATAACAGGCCCCAGCCGTCATTTCCTCGTTCCTGATGATGGTCATAGACTGAAACGTTGAGTGAATACAGAATTGTTACTAAACTGTAAAAAACTGTTTGCAATTTGAGATGTGCCTGTTAGTGCACAACATATTTATTCATTACAATATAATGAAGCTGCAAGAAGCGTCCAAACTCATCTTTGACGCTTTTATGTCGTTCTAGTGGAAGGGTCCGGCCTCTTCCCCTATGTAATCATAACATCTCTCTGCAGACTCTGCAAAGTCGCGAAATCATGCTCTTCTGTACATGTCAATTGCTGTAATAATGTCCAGGTTCAAAAAAGAAAGGCTGCATAGCAACAGCGACTACTCACCGAGTTTTGGAGTTTCCATCATTTTCTGTGCCAACGGATGCGAATGCCAGAATGAAAGCAGAGACACTTCAGAGATTAACTGCTGCTATTGAACAGTGCAAAAGCAGTAAGGATTTTTCGAAGTTGGCTACAGAAGAAAGGTAAATAGGTTGATAATGCAGTTGATAGGTTTCTATACATGCAGTTTTAGGAGTGGTGAAGGAAAAGCCTGCCCATAACTACATGCCTAATCTTAGTAATCAACCACTCTAAACTATGGTGCCTTTTCTTTCCCAGCAGGGACCGTGCAACAATTTTTTCAGACGTTATGCATGTACAGTAGGTATCGGTTATAGCGTGGGTGTTTGAAAAACGACTTTCTATTCTTATTTCCGATATTTCTTACACACGATAAATCAAGTGTGACATGTCATGTGCATGTGCGAGGAGGCAGGAAGATCATCATACATACAAGTTAGTGCTACTGTGCAATGTGCATGCGGCTGGTCACAGTCACATAGGCTTATAGGCGATTCAGACTACGACCAAAATCACGTCTGAACTTTAATTTCCATGGTGATGCAGTCATGTTTCAAAATTTTATGCACAATCTCTGATCAAATACATCTGAGTCGTAGAAACGTGGTCACATTTGGCCGTAGCCTGAATCGCCTATTACCATGTGGCTATGCAACATGAGTTACATGACCACAATAGTTGAACCTGCAGCACTACGACCCAACGCGAGTCAGATCAGAACTGCTTTGGACGGATGTTATTACTACAGGCGATATACTTTGTACTGATCTGGCATGTTTCGCTACACAAAGTCCATTCTTAGGACCGATATATTCTACTGTACGGTAAAATTGCTTGTAAGAATAAATGTGCACATGAAATCCATGTTATGATTATGAAAACATGTGAGAGTTCATTCTCGTACTGTAGTAGGCAGTAGAATTATTCTTTTACATGACCACGCTATAACCCATACACACTGTACATGTACAGCCTACTTTGCGTATAGCGACACTTGGCGGGGCATCAGAAAAGTGTCCTTATTCGTGAAGAGTCCTTATATCCGAAGTCTCATTATATTTATGTATTACAGTTATGGAAATTGACCGATGAGCTGATTGTTATGGAAATTCTGTCATTATTCACAACTTGTTGTTATATCCGCAGTCGTTAGTAGCGAAGTCAACTGTAGATCCTGTCTGTTTTTACTGCTTTACTAACGTTGCTAGTAGCTGCAATGAATACATTATTTGCACTGATGATGAAACTTTCAGAACCACGTTCTGGGAGTCTGGACACTGTCTTTGAATACCTCACATAATAATGATGTGTGCTTTTTCTGCTCTCTCCTCATAGATTCCTTCTCCAGTATCCTTTGAGTGCTGGTCAGTGTCACCCTGGTCACGATGTCACCACCATGCTTGGCAAGGCAGCCTCACAACTAAGCCAAAGGGTACACCCTTCTGTTATAGCTCGCATTAAAGAGTGCGTGGTAGCTGGTTTACGAAGCCCGCGTGACATATCCAACGTCTTGAAAATGGAGAGCACAGCAGGCTTGTCCCGTGCATACCATCCTCACGCCAAGGATGTACGCTGGCACGTGTTTTCTTCTTTGCGCTCTCTTCAAATGTCAGTTGTGGATCAATTAGAGCTTGGAATGAAGGTACTATGAAGATGCAACTATAATGTGGTGGCTGCATTCTATGTCTCCGGAAGGGATTTTATAACTGGCCCATATCAACGAAGTAATCCGTCCTGTTCCAAGCAGGATTTGAACCCACTGTTGCATCAAATGTGATTCATGTATGCATCACCATGGACATGAACCATACTTTCATATTATTTTTCTGAAAGTAAGTTATCCCTTTTACTTTCTTTGTAACAATTGACCTTGTGGCTTTTCTCCCTCGTAGCCCTTCTTCTACAGGTATCCAGTATTAAAGACCGCGATCTATTAAACCATCATAAAAATACTCTATATTGGTAATGTGATTTATCTGTCCTTAGGTGGAAAGTTGGAGAGAACATGCGAGACACCCGGATATCACATTTCGTCCATAGGTTGAAGCAAAAGAAGGATCCGACGGACTTCGAGAAGAAGAAGAACGGCAGCAGATGCCGAATGTCTTCCTAGGTAATTGCGTTATGTACATTTTGCCATGGCATCCAATATTCACGACCTATGCCTTCATTGGAGTACATGGATTACAGGTACATGTATATTCAAAGCTGCATCTGTGCAATTCTACTACAACGTAATGATCCTTTAGAGTGGCGGTACACCTACCATCTGCCTGGGTCGTGAGCTTTCTTCCTATGTTTGCTATTGTTTCCTGTAGGGAGTGGAGGTGGGGACTACGATGAAGCCCTACCCACTCTGGACAACCAACTCAGCACACGCCTCCTATTTATCCACCAGGAACAATGGCAAAAGCGGCTGCTCTCTAAGTACGGCCAGCTTGTGTTAATTGATGCAACATACAGAACGACAAAGTACAATGTAGCTTTGATCTTTCTGGTCGTGCCAACGGCAACCAAGTATATGGTAGTTGCTGAGTTTGTCATTCAGAGTGAGTGCGAAGGTGACATTGCGGAGGCTCTGGAGGTAAGTTAGTTAGTTCAGAACTTTAAAAAAATGATTTATTAGTGGGGGTGAAATTTGGCGTTGAGATCCCGAGTTTGAGTACTCTGATTTTCTCCGATCGATTTTTCGAGTATTTGAGTGTTCTTTATCTCCTAAAAATTCCACACCAAGGGCCTTAAAAAATCAAATTATACGACCCCGATTGAACCATGTGGCAGTCATTTTTCTCAGGCACTGAACATGTATATTGATTGGTGGGTCATTTGGGCTCTCTCTACTCATGTACAAATGTTCACCACACAGTCTGCACATCAATATCTACTGACTGCTGCTCTGAAACTGCAGATTGCAATGGTCAATGCATGTACCATGAACGAGTACTCTGATTTATTCCGAGTACGATTATTTTAGAAAAAACCCAAGCGAGTACTCGAATGTAAAGAGAGAAGAAAACACACGAGAGTTATGTTATGCAGCAACTATCCAGGACTGTAACAAGATGATACAGTCTTGTTACACTCGTGGATAGTTGCTGCATAACTCGTTCTCATGTGTTTTCTTCTCTTTTTTACATTAAATTTTATTACTGGCTCAGTATTCGGTATAATTGTTTCACCAGTGACCACTATTTGCTAGTTGCCACATCATCCCAGTGTAAGTTGTCAAGATTATCTGGTTAAATTAAATGGTAATGATGGGTGTGTTAAAAAATCTATGATTTTGTTGTGGTCTAGATTATTCGTGGAAAGAATCCGAATTGGTCTCCTGAATTCTTCATGACTGACTATTCGGAGGCTGAAATGTTAGCCATTCGTCGTGTGTCTCCCGGTGTTCGAGTGATGCTCTGTGACTTGCATAGAGAACAGTGCTGGCTCAGGTAGGGTAACTTCAGTATGTGAATGTAGGTGAATGCAATATGGATTTTGCTAGATTCTTATAATTATATATAGCCCCACTTTAGTATTAAAGCCTTTTTCACCTGTGTCTTTCTCCACTGAAGTCTTTACCGAAGCGTTCCACTAAATGAGGGGGAGGGGGGGGGAGCGTGACGAGCCTGTTGTCATATGCACTCTCCATTCATATCCGTCTCTTCTTTGCAATGTTGCCATGCCGTACCTGCACTGCACCTCGTCTCATATCTGAGCGCGTGTGCGCGCGTGTGTGTGTGTCTCACGGGTGGTGGTTGCTTCTCTATTATGAGGTGTGATGTACTTTTTGTTGCATCAATTGCAGGTGGGTGAAAGACAGCAAACATGGCTTGTCGCAAGATGAAGCGAGCAGCCTCTTGGACATGCTTCGAGACTTGGCCTATGAGCCACCAGCACAGAAAGGCCCAGTTGACAGTGGGTATCGCCAGCTTGAGCTCAAGCTGCAGGAGTCACAGGTGTGGCAGGACCACAAGGCTGTTCAATCCTGGCTGCAAACAAAGTGGTTGGCAATACCAGAGGTATGGGCAATATTCCAGGTTTATTGAAAATGTAGGATACTAGTGTGCAGTAGCTGTAGCCTGAGAGGGCTTACTTCACATGACACTAGCAAAACACAAGCAAATGGCCATGATGAGAAGGGAATGAAAATATTCAGTTGTTAAATATTGCAGCACAATGTATTAACTTTTTAAGTAGCTTTAATTAACGCAATACATGGAGTGAGTTGTGAACTCAGTACAATTACTACAAACACCATAAGCAAATACTACATACTTGTCATAATTCCTCGTTTTTTGTTCGGGCCTCATTGGAAATTTTTATTTCCATTGCTATCAGGTTCGGCCTCATTTCCTCTGTGTTGCGCTGACGAGTCCACAAAGGACGAAACAGTTCTGTCCGCAGATTGAGTACTTGTCATAATTATGTAATTTCTTTCTTTCTATGGTAAAAGCAAAAAGGACCAAAGAACTACAAGATGATGATAACTTTGCAGCTTAGAAAGCGTTTGTGGGCAGGCATGTTCTTACCGCCCTATTGCTAGGTGTGTATTTACCACCATATGAATCAGCCATAAGCTTTAATTAACTTGTTATTTTGTTCTTCTTGTGCAGTGCTGGGCCAGGGCGTGGACAGGTGTAGGCTATGGTTTGAATGTATATAACAACAATGGCGTTGAAGCTCAAAATAAAATCAGAAAACCTCAGTAAAACAGACTTGCCTGAAATCCAATAGTTTTGTTTTGCAAAGCCACGAGCAACTTGAAACTCTTCACGTAGTTAACCATGGACATGAATTTCAATTTTAATTTCTGCTAGCACAGGTCAACATGGACGATAGCCACTTTGTGTAGTATCGTTTAACTTGGCAATGTGAAGCGTGCTGCTCGGTGTATGGGTGGACTGGAATGTGAACAATACGAGTTTCTAAACTGTATCCACGTCACATCTTCTCGGTTTTCTTTTCCAGGTCCTTAAATATACTTTCCTGCCACGCAACAGAACAACACTGGCAACTCTGTTCACTACCATCATTGACGTATTCCTGCCGAGTCAGCTGAGAGAGTTCTCATTCCTCAATGTGGTGAGGGCATTTAGATACCAGCTCACTTCTCTTGCTTAGGGAGGTAGCTTTTGAAGCTTTCAGGATGTGGAACCTTTCGGTTAAGCATAGGCCACACTTCTTGCTGATGTTACTGTACGAAGGTGCTCTATCCTTGATCTCCCATCTGATGTCGAATCCGCGGTTCTCGTTTTTTCAGATCCCAGATGTGCTTGGACAACTTAGTCGATGCGGCGTACTTTTCATGGCGGAAGTCCGAAGTGTGTTTGTTGTAGCGCTGCTTGAATGTGGTAGCAGTCATGCCGACGTACACATGTGTGTAGGTCTTGACTTCGTTGGATGCTACATGCGCCTCGTACACGACGTCGGAAGACTGGCAGTCACCGTTGAGGGGGCACGACGCCTTGACCCGACAATTGCATGGCACAACTGGCGGTCGCGAGTGAAGTTTTGCAGCATTGTGCCCTTTGATAATCGACGCTACGTTCTTCATGCAGCTGTAGCTTACTTTTGTTGTGTTCTTGTTAACCCTTTGAGGCCCATAGTACGGATATATCCGTACCAGTGTACAGTGCATACTTTTCAAAGCGCAACCTGGCGTAACTCGGCCGTCCCTTGACCAAATCGGACCATCGAAAGATCTATCGACATTAGAATTGTCTCAGCTATCGGCTCGAAAAAACCCGAAGGCGATCTGAGGTCGGAGAGCGGAGTTATGAGACTCGAACTAAATTCGCTCAGCAGAGTCACCTCGGGCGCGTGCATTTTGAACTCGTTTTGGGGTTTTTCCCTGACTCGCGGCCCACACAGCCAAAGATAGTACACGTCATCGCAAAGGCATGTTTCTCAGCTCTCATGTAAAAAAAGTTGAGCGATCTGCGATACATTTTGTTGAAATGGCAGAGAATTTGAGTTGGGCGCTCGCAATGCTGAATATTCGATCTGAGAAAATCAGAGTACTTCGAAGTACCGTAGAATCCCGAGGATAAGCCCATGGGCTTATCTGTTTCACAAGGACATTTCGGTGGGCTTATACGAGAACATGGGCTTATACCCGGGCATGGGCTTACACGCCGACACCAAGTTGTGCTATTGAAAAGTATCAAGGAAGTGTGAAGTACATTGCTGAAAACCACTGTGGAAACAAAAACAACCGATGATTGTGCTGAAATGTACGAAAAAAACTATAATAGGGAGGTTCCGGAGTACGATTTTTCGTGCCAAAATCCGTGGAGGCTCTACGGATTTTTTATACGTCGTTTTCGAGCAGTGAAAAGTTCCGGGGTACGGAACTTATTATTACTTATGTGTTTGCCGTCATTGCCTAGGTTACGATCGCAAACACGTCACATTCCCGCGCTATGCCTTTTTATTTTGAAAATTTGTACCGAGATCAAAACTTCCCGCGAAAAATCGATGTTTCTCGTACCAAATTTGTACGCGAAAAATCTTTCTGCACCCGATGACGCAAAATCTCCATACGAAGCATGGTTCGTATGAAAGCCAGTCCACACGGATTCTCGTGCCGAAAAATCGTATGGAGCACGCCTGGAAAAAATCCGTAGCGCCCATACGGATTTTGGCACGGAAAATCGTACCCCGGAACCTCTCTAATGTGAATGACTACGTACATGGTATGGCCAAGAGTCCATGATTTATGGACTCTCGGTATGACCTAGGCCCATGGGCTTGTACGATGAAGCTTTGTGATGTTCGAACAAACCCTGGGCTTTTGCGCGGGCATGGGCGAATACGCGGATGGGCTTATCCGCGGGATTCTACGGTACTAGAACTCGAACTCGGGATCTCAGTGCCAATTTTCACCCCTAAATTTTAAAAATTAGGTGTAGTAAAATTTCTGTATCACGGACCTGTCAGGTTTCAGGTGTAATGTAGAATTTGGTGACCAGCCTACCCTTCATAAACAGTGTGGACTCCAGTGCCATTTTAGGTGTAATCAGGTTGCGTTTGGTTGGTCACATTCCACAACAGGAATCACTGGGAATTATTCTTGCCCGTTTGTTTGGTCAAATAATTCCGCTAGGTTGGTCACATTCCAGAATGGGAATCACTGATCATTCCAACTTACATGCTGGAATGATCATTCTTTTTTCCGGAATCAAAAATGAAAATGGTTGGCACAAGCCAATCAATGTAGCAACAGGCTCAATTGCCTCAAATCATGCACTCAGAAGTACCTTGCCTCTCTCAAGGAAACTGGAGTTGGGTAAAAGAGAAGAGAGCCGTGGTTCCACAACGACATCATGGAATTGTTATGTCAAGGGATTCCAAGTTGATTCTGGCGCGTTTGTTTGGTCAGGTGATTCTTCCGTTCCCATTCTAGAGTAGTTTATTATTATTATTATTATTTGAAGCTCGGATGTTGAGCCATAAATAAATGTAGAAAAGAAAGGGACATATGTATACGAGTTTAGAGTAACTCTCCATCACTGTAACTGGATACTATTATACAGTCAGAAAGTGCAATAACTAAGCACAAAACTGACAGAGTACTGAGACATTCGATGTCCTGACACCAAGCTTCAACACATCTCCGTAGCGCTAACCGACAGCCTTCCAACTTGGAAGGTTCGAGGTTATGAAAAGACCCAAGAGGAGAAGGCAAGCGCAACGAAAACGAGCACAAGCTACAGTCCTAACGGAACAAAGAATGTCGATTGTTACTGGACGATGACGAGACCAGTAGGATACTTGAAAAAGCGGTCTAACTACAATTCGAAGCAGCAAAGCAGCACACCACCCAACTTGGGTGGGTCATAAATATTATTGTTACTCGGATGATGAGCCAATAATAAATGTAGAAAGGAAGAGGACATATGGATACGAGTTAAGAGTAACTCTCCATCACTGTAACCAGATGCTATATACAGTCAGAAAGTGCAACAATTAGGCACAAAGCTGACAAAGTACTGAGACATTCGACGTCCTGACACCTAGCTTCAACACATCTCTGTACCGCTAACCGACAGCCTTCCAACTCGGAAGGTTCAAGGTTATGGAAAGACCAAAGAGGGGTAGGTAAGAGCAACAAAAACGAGCACAAGCTACAGTCCTAACGGAACAAAGAATGTCAATTGTTACTGGACCATGGCGAGACCAGTAGGATACTTGAAAAAGCGGTCTAATTACAATTCGAAGCAGCAAAGCAGCACACCACCCAACTCGGGTGGCTCATAAATATCAAAGATAAGTAAAGAAGGGGGAAGCTTTGCGAAAACGAATTGTACAAGCCGAAAGCCAAACTCCTACGGTACTCCTCATGCATGACATTGTGATGGACTAGTTGACTACAAAACGAGTTGTTTCACACGACGTACGTTTCGCCGTATGGTTCGTGACGGTCCTACTGGTGTCGTCATCGTCCAGTAACAATCGACATTCTTTGTTCCGTTAGGACTGTAGCTTGTGCTCGTTTTTGTTGCTCTTACCTACCCCTCTTTGGTCTTTCCATAACCTTGAACCTTCCGAGTTGGAAGGCTGTCGAATGTCGAATGTGTTGAAGCTAGGTGTCAGGACGTCGAATGTCTCAGTACTTTGTCAGCTTTGTGCCTAGTTGTTGCACTTTCTGACTGTATATAGTATCTGGTTACAGTGATGGAGAATTACTCTTAACTCGTTTCCATATGTCCTCTTCCTTTCTACAATTATTATTTAACTCGGAAGGTGAGCCAATTAAATTATTGTGAAAAGAAGAATGACACCATGTTACGAGTTATGACCAACTGTCCACCAACGTAACCAGATCTTATACAGTCAGCAAGTGCGACAAAATGGCACAAAACTGAGATGATTAATTTAATATCTCAGACTTGCTGCAAAACACTCATACCAATGGTGACTATTTGCTCAGGTGACGGTAGGTCAGACACAGAGCTATTGAAGTCCTGGCCGGCCGCCTGCCATTCGGCGAACGGGAACGTCTTCTTGCCGCACTGCACACGGAAGTTTGCCTGGGGTGAGTAGTGACGGTTGTTCCTTGTTTGGAAGACGTGCTGTGCGAGGGTTTGCGGGTCACATTTGTACAGCGTGTAGAAGACACCATCGGGCGTGAAGCACTGGTTGCCAATGTAGTACTGATCGGCAAACTCACCGTTATCATCACACTGACAGGCACGTTTGCCAGCCGAACGAGCGGGTATTCCCGGATAGACGATGACATTGCCCGGTCCGGTCATCTTGTTGTGCCCTAGGTATGCCTTCACTCCGCCAAACACCATAAAGTTACCACTGTTGTTGTAGTACGCCGACCCGTCATCGTGGTCAATAGACCAGCGGCCTGCGTAGCCATTGATGATGAAGTTCTGCGTGATGTGATTTGGCGCTGGCACGATACTTGGCGGCCCATCGGTACACTGTGCTGGCGTGATGTAGGGTTGTCTATCCCAGCTGTTAAACATACCATGGTCATCGGTCTCACGCACCATGTTAAAGATCAGGTTTCCGCGCAGGAGAGTGTCACCGCCAAAGCCATCGTTGAAGTTGATACCAGCGCGGGGACCGTTATAACAGACATTGTCTACGAACATGTTCCCGCAGGCTAGCGCCTGGAAGTAGCAGGAGACTTGCTTGCCGTACATACCGAAATCGTGGATGTGATTGTTGCTGATGAGATTGCGGGCCGGGTACGAGGGCTGCATGCCGTCCATCATACCCGCACGCCCGACCGCCACGACGGCACTGTCGCCTGTCAGTGTGATCTCGTTGTGCGATACGGTGCAGTTGCGTACATACTCGGACAGGAAGATAGCGTTGCCGCCGACCGCGTCAAACGTACAATTCGTCACTGTACAGTCCGAGGCGTCTTGAATGAAGAACGCGGCGTTGCGATGTATCGACCAATCACCGCCCGACGGCAGCTCGTAGTAATCCAGAAACGTGGTACGCGTTTCAGTGAACGTCAGACCGGCAAAGTGGATGTTCCTGACGGGACGTGAGGAACCGCTGCCACGTAACTGCACTAGACTGGAGTGCTGCGGAGCAACCACTTCAGCATGCTGCAGATCAGCACATTGTGTGGCGTTGGGGTAGAAATAGAGTGTTGATGTGTCAGTGTCCAAAAACCACTCTCCCGGCGAGTCCAACTCCTCGGCTATGTTCTCAACGTAGTAATGATTCTCACCAGCATTTCCACCGCGCGCTTCTTGCCAACCACCGTACTTGAAATACAGCTCGTGTTTCTTTGTATTCACGCTGTCAAGCTGTACGGATGTATGAGCACACACATGTGCAGACACACACACATGTTCACATACACACACACACACATACACACACACACACACACACACACACACACACAAACGTGCACCCACACACGTGTACACATGCAGCCGACGGATTCAGATTTCTGACGGAGACACTGAGTTGATTGTGAGCTGCTTTCCCACTTCTCACCCTGGATCATGATGAACAGGCAGTCATAACATCTAGCCACATACTATGACAACAAAGTACATGATTGTACCGTATCCGACATAGAAATCCGTTGAGAAGTCAAGCGGCCACCACGGGACGTTGGCCTTGCAGCCGCAAGCACTGCACTGCTGTCCCATTTTAACAGAGTATGCGTGTGAACTACAGTGCGTGTGAGCGCTAAAAGCAATGAGGCGCCGGCCCCGGTCATCCCATTGAAAGCAATGAGGCGCCGGCCCCGGTCATCCCATTGAAAGCAATGAGGCGCCGGCCCCGGTCATCCCATTGAAAGCAATGAGGACGCCGGCCCCGGTCATCCCATTGAAAGCAATGAGGGCGCCGGCCCCGGTCATCCCATTGAAAGCAATGAGGGCGCCGGCCCCGGTCATTCCATTGAAAGCAATGAGGGCGCCGGCCCCGGTCATCCCATTGAAAGCAATGAGGACGCTGGCCCCGGTCATCCCATTGAAAGCAATGAGGGCGCCGGCCCCGGTCATCCCATTGAAAGCAATGACCCAGTCCAGCGATGCCATACAACAGCGTGTTATATATCGACCCTGCCCCAAGGGCGGCTGGAATAGGGAACCCAGGAGCAACACCCATATCGTTTAGCGTTACAGGCATTCGTGTCCCCTCCCTCTACGCTAGACTCCCTGGTCTTGACCGGCCGTGGCAGTCTGACCGATTCCTGGTCTTGACCGGCCGTGGCAGTCTGACCGATTCCTGGTCTTGACCAGCCGTGGCAGTCTGACCGATTCCTGGCCGCATGACAACTCCCCCCGTTACATGACCAACCCTTGGTCCCCCCCCCTTCCCACCCCTCCGCTTCAAACCCATCAAATTCCAAGCGTCATGAGCGTCGGTGACCGAACAGGAGATAGAGATTGCTAAAATTATAGGCAGATGTCCTGAATACCCTTGTGTCACGATATTCAGACCCGCAAACACTGGCTACAAAAGCACTGGGCATGCCACATGACTCATCATTGATGACATAATGCATAAGCAGGTCACATAACCAATCATTAATGACATCATGCGTAAGCAGCTCACATGACAAACCATTGATGACATCATGTGCAATCAGGTCACATGACAAATCCACATCACATGACCAGCCATTGATGACGTCATGCAAAACAGGTCACATGACTAGCCCTTGTGACGTTATGAGTAACCAGGTCACAGGACGGCTCACCTGAAACATCCAGTTTCCCCAGTACTGAGTGTGGAACATATGAACAACGCCGGTGCTGGGATTACTCCACGTTGCCGTCCTGTTGGCCATCTCTGCGCCGTATTTGATTCCCTTTGGCCGATCACGGTACGGATCGTTCCAGAATGAGTAGACGGGCTGAAGTCCGGGCACACCGTCTAGAGCGGAGTATGTATGATAGTGGAACGATGACCAGTGATCATCACCAGTGACATGATGTGGACGAACTGGTTTATCCACACTTATCATCGTGTCACTGGGTGAGGGTGCTGCTGCTGCTGTCTGCAGTGGCGAGTGCGAGTGGAGGTCTTGAGAAGCGTCCAGATCTTCCGCCCCGCTACCGTCTATAATGTAAAACAAGTCACACAACCAGAGAGAATAGCAGGGGAATGGAGTTGGTATCATTGCGTTCTAAAGGATAACGAGATTTTCATAATTCACAGTTTGTGTGAGACATGGCTGGAGGTCTGAGTTTTTCTCATCCACAGAAACACCATCACTCTCTATGTATCAATGAACAGCTGCAGCAACACCATCACTCTCTATGTATCAATGCACAGCTGCAGCAACACCATCACTCTCTATGTATCAATACACAGCTGCAGGAACACCATCACTCTCTATGTATCAATGCACAGCTGCAGGAACACCATCACTCTCTATGTATCAATGCACAGCTGCAGGAACACCATCACTCTCTATGTATCAATGCACAGCTGCAGCAACACCATCACTCTCTATGTATCAATGCACAGCTGCAGGAACACCATCACTCTCTATGTATCAATGCACAGCTGCAGGAACACCATCACTCTCTATGTATCAATACACAGCTGCAGGAACACCATCACTCTCTATGTATCAATGCACAGCTGCAGAAACACCATCACTCTCTATGTATCAAGACACAGATGTAGCTCCTAAAGTGGAGGGAGGTGAGTTGATCAGACCCACCACAAAGTGATCAAAGACCTAAAATCCTATTCGCTGCACCCATGAAGCGAGTATTGAGATTACAATAGATAAAAATAGGAGTGGACGTCGACCCCCACATGCTTTCATGCTCTTGTAAAGTACGTCTGAATTATTTCGCCCGCATAAAAGTTGCAGGTGCATCGTTGTAACGCATGTGCACACGGGAACGTTTGACAATGCAAGTACTGAAAAATCAGTGTTACCTTGGCGATCTTTGAAGAGGTGGTCAAGCCTGGCGTCCTCGGATATTGCACCGCTCGCCGTGGCGTAACCTTGACAACCTTCGTCGCCCTCTTGACTGACATAATAGCACACGCCGGACATCTGCTGAGGATCACCGTTGGGGTAGCGTGCACGGATCTGCCGAACGCCGTTGACGAACAGAGTGGTGAACGCCATGCCTTCTGGTACCTGGGCCTGGAAGACGTTTGTATTTGTTTTGCTCTTTGTCCAGGACAACGTGAGCGGTGTTCCACCACTCAGAGTAACCTGTGTAGCATAGAGAAAGAATAAAATACAATGGGAGGTTCTGGTGTGTAATGGGGAGATGGAACTCGCTCCGCTCAGCACCGTTGATCTATCCCATGCTGTGTCGCATCAAGTGAAGCCCGCGTGGCTGGTGTACCCATCTATGCATCACGCTTTCTGTATGTGTATGCTAAGTTCTCTCGTACTACTACTGCGGTTGCAGCCACGAGCACTGCATTGCTGATCCACTTTTACACCCGGGGTGCTGGCCTTGCAGCCACGAGCACTGCATTGCTGATCCACTTTTACACCCGGGGTGCTGGCCTTGCAGTCACGAGCACTTCATAGCTGATCCATTATTACACCCGGGGTGCTGGCCTTGCAGCCACGAGCACTGCATTGCTGATCCACTTTTACACCCGGGGTGCTGGCCTTGCAGCCACGAGCACTGCATTGCTGATCCACTTTTACACCCGGGGTGCTGGCCTTACAGTCACGAGCACTGCATAGCTGATCCACTTTCACACCCGGGGTGCTGGCCTTGCAGCCACGAGCGCTGCATTGCTGATCCACTTTTACACCCCTGGCGCTGGCCTTGCAGCCAGGACTGCAGGAGCACTGCATTGCTGATCCACTTTCACACCCAGGGTGCTGGCCTTGCAGTCACGAGCACTGCATAGCTGATCCACTTTTACACCCGGGGTGCTGGCCTTGCAGCCACGAGCACTGCATTGCTGATCCACTTTTACACCCCTGGCGCTGGCCTTGCAGCCAGGACTGCAGGAGCACTGCATTGCTGATCCACTTTCACACCCGGAGTGCTGGCCTTGCAGTCACGAGCAGTGCATAGCTGATCCACTTTTACACCCGGGGTGCTGGCCTTGCCGTCAAGAGCACTGCATAGCTGATCCACTTTTACACCCGGGGTGCTGGCCTTGCAGCCACGAGCACTGCATTGCTGATCCACTTTTACACCCCTGGCGCTGGCCTTGCAGCCAGGACTGCAGGAGCACTGCATTGCTGATCCACTTTCACACCCGGGGTGCTGGCCTTGCAGCCACGAGCAGTGCAGAGCTGATCCACTTTTACACCCGGGGTGCTGGCCTTGCCGTCACGAGCACTGCATAGCTGATCCACTTTTACACCCGGGGTGCTGGCCTCGCAGTCACGAGCACTGCATTGCTGATCCACTTTTACACCCCTGGCGCTGGCCTTGCAGTCACGAGCAGTGCATAGCTGATCCACTTTTACACCCGGGGTGCTGGCCTTGCCGTCACGAGCACTGCATAGCTGATCCACTTTTACACCCGGGGTGCTGGCCTTGCAGCCACGAGCACTGCACTGCTGATCCACTTTTACACCCCTGGCGCTGGCCTTGCAGCCAGGACTGCAGGAGCACTGCATTGCTAATCCACTTTCACACCCGGGGTGCTGGCCTTGCAGTCACGAGCAGTGCAGAGCTGATCCACTTTTACACCCGGGGTGCTGGCCTTGCCGTCACGAGCACTGCATAGCTGATCCACTTTTACACCCGGGGTGCTGGCCTTGCAGTCACGAGCACTGCATTGCTGATCCACTTTTACACCCCTGGCGCTGGCCTTGCAGTCACGAGCACTGCATTGCTGATCCACTTTTACACCCCTGGCGCTGGCCTTGCAGCCAGGACTGCAGGAGCACTGCATTGCTGATCCACTTTCACACCCGGGGTGCTGGCCTTGCAGCCACGAGCAGTGCAGAGCTGATCCACTTTTACACCCGGGGTGCTGGCCTTGCCGTCACGAGCACTGCACTGCTGATCCACTTTTACACCCCTGGCGCTGGCCTTGCAGCCAGGACTGCAGGAGCACTGCATTGCTAATCCACTTTCACACCCGGGGTGCTGGCCTTGCAGTCACGAGCAGTGCAGAGCTGATCCACTTTTACACCCGGGGTGCTGGCCTTGCCGTCACGAGCACTGCATAGCTGATCCACTTTTACACCCGGGGTGCTGGCCTTGCAGTCACGAGCACTGCATTGCTGATCCACTTTTACACCCCTGGCGCTGGCCTTGCAGTCACGAGCACTGCATTGCTGATCCACTTTTACACCCCTGGCGCTGGCCTTGCAGCCAGGACTGCAGGAGCACTGCATTGCTGATCCACTTTCACACCCGGGGTGCTGGCCTTGCAGTCACGAGCAGTGCAGAGCTGATCCACTTTTACACCCGGGGTGCTGGCCTTACCGTCACGAGCACTGCATAGCTGATCCACATTTACACCCGGGGTGCTGGCCTTGCAGTCACGAGCAGTGCATAGCTGATCCACTTTTACACCCGGGGTGCTGGCCTTGCAGTCACGAGCACTGCATTGCTGATCCACTTTTACACCCCCGGTGCTGGCCTTTGCATTGCTGATCCACTTTTACACCCGGGGTGCTGGCCTTGCAGCCACGAGCACTGCATTGCCGATCCACTTTTACACCCGTGGCGCTGGCCTAGCAGTCACGAGCACTGCATAGCTGATCCACTTTTACACCCGGGGTGCAGGCCTTGCAGCCACGAGCACTGTACAGCCGATCCACTTTTACACCCGGGGTGCTGGCCTTGCCGCCACAAGCACTGCATTGCTGATCCACTTTTACACCCGGGGTGCTGGCCTTGCAGCCAACAGCACTGCATAGCTGCTCCACTTTTACACCCGGGGTGCTGGCCTTGCAGACACGAGCACAGCATTGCTGATCCACTTTTACACCCGGGGTGCTGGCCTTGCAGTCAAGAGCACTGCATTGCTGATCCACTTTTACACCCGGGGTGCTGGCCTTGCAGTCACGAGCACTGCATAGCTGATCCACTTTTACACCCGGGGTGCTGGCCTTGCAGTCACGAGCACTGCATAGCTGATCCACTTTTACACCCCTAGCGCTGGCCTTGCAGCCAGGACTGCAGGAGCACTGCATTGCTGATCCACTTTCACACCCGGGGTGCTGGCCTTGCAGTCACGAGCAGTGCATAGCTGATCCACTTTTACACCCGGGGTGCTGGCCTTGCCGTCACGAGCACTGCATAGCTGATCCACTTTTACACCCGGGGTGCTGGCCTTGCAGTCACGAGCACTGCATTGCTGATCCACTTTTACACCCCTGGCGCTGGCCTTGCAGTCACGAGCACTGCATTGTTGATCCACTTTTACACCCCGGGTGCTGGCCTTTGCATTGCTGATCCACTTTTTCACCCGGGGTGCTGGCCTTGCAGCCACGAGCACTGCATTGCTGATCCACTTTTACACCCGTGGTGCTGGCCTTGCAGTCACGAGCACTGCATAGCTGATCCACTTTTACAACCGGGGTGCAGGCCTTGCAGCCACGAGCACTGTACAGCCGATCCACTTTTACACCCGGGGTGCTGGCCTTGCAGCCACAAGCACTGCATTGCTGATCCACTTTTACACCCGGGGTGCTGGCCTTGCAGCCACGAGCACTGCATAGCTGATCCACTTTTACACCCGGGGTGCTGGCCTTGCAGCCACGAGCACTGCATTGCTGATCCACTTTTACACCCGGGGTGCTGGCCTTGCAGTCACAAGCAGTGCATTGCTGATCCACTTTTACACCCGGGGTGCTGGCCTTGCAGTCACGAGCACTGCATTGCTGATCCACTTTCACACCCGGGGTGCTGGCCTTGCAGTCACGAGCACTGCATTGCTGATCCACTTTTACACCCGGGGTGCTGGCCTTGCAGTCACGAGCCCTGCATTGCTGATCCACTTTTACACCCGGGGTGCTGGCCTTGCAGCCAGGAGCACTGCATGCATTGCTGATCCACTTTTACACCCGGGGTGCTGGCCTTGCAGCCACGAGCACTGCATTGCTGATCCACTTTTACACACGGGGTGCTGGCCTTGCAGTCACGAGCACTGCTGCCACTGCATAGCTGATCCACTTTTACACCCGGGGTGCTGGCCTTGCAGTCACGAGCACTCCATAGCTGATCCACTTTTACACCCGGGGTGCTGGCCTTGCAGTCACGAGCACTCCATAGCTGATCCACTTTTACACCCGGGGTGCTGGCCTTGCAGTCACGAACACTGCATTGCTGATCCACTTTTACACCTAGGGTGCTGGCCTTGCAGTCACCATGGTTACGAGCACTGCATAGCTGATCCACTTTCACAGTGTGTACATGAACTACAGTGCATGTATCAGCTAAAAGCAATGAGACGCCGGCCCCGGTCATCCCATTAAAAGCAATGAGGTCATCCCATTGAAAACAATGAGGCGCCGGCCCCTGTCATCCCATTGAAAGTAATGAGGCGCCGGCCCCGGTCATCCCATTGAAAGCAATGAGGGCGCCGGCCCCGGTCATCCCATTGAAAGCAATGAGGCGCCGGCCCTGGTCATCCCATTGAAAGCAATGAGGCGCCGGCCCCGGTCATCCCATTGAAAGCAATGAGGCGCCGGCCCCGGTCATCCCATTGAAAGCAATGAGGCGCCGGCCTCGGTCATCCCATTGAAAGCAATGAGGGCGCCGGCCCCGGTCATCCCATTGAAAGCAATGAGGCGCCGGCCCTGGTCATCCCATTGAAAGCAATGAGGCGCCGGCCCCGGTCATCCCATTGAAAGCAATGAGGCGCCGGCCCCGGTCATCCCATTGAAAGCAATGAGGCGCCGGCCCCGGTCATCCCATTGAAAACAATGAGGCGCCGGCCCCTGTCATCCCATTGAAAGTAATGAGGCGCCGGCCCCGGTCATCCCATTGAAAGCAATGAGGGCGCCGGCCCCGGTCATCCCATTGAAAGCAATGAGGCGCCGGCCCTGGTCATCCCATTGAAAGCAATGAGGCGCCGGCCCCGGTCATCCCATTGAAAGCAATGAGGCGCCGGCCCCGGTCATCCCATTGAAAGCAATGAGGCGCCGGCCTCGGTCATCCCATTGAAAGCAATGAGGGCGCCGGCCCCGGTCATCCCATTGAAAGCAATGAGGCGCCGGCCCTGGTCATCCCATTGAAAGCAATGAGGCGCCGGCCCCGGTCATCCCATTGAAAGCAA